CAATAGAGTTTATTGCTGACTGTGAGTCCGAAAGTATCACCGCTTTGGTGAATTTCGTATCCAGGCAACATAATTGGCGTAGTGCTATCCTAATGGCCTCTATTTCTCCATCAAAAGCGGATCTATTATGTCCCGCTGCTGCGTAGAAAGAGAANCTCCTAATACTATGGTTTTGTGTGAGATGTTCAGAAAGTCAAAGTTTGGACAATTCTGGGGAGGATTATAGACTGCATATATCTTGAATTGGTTTTGACATTTCCAAACATTTAATCTGATTATTTCACATTTGTCTTGTGTCGAGCCCATACTCTTGATTAGGTCATAGTGTGAGGTTAGGCCATCTTTTACTCCAGTTAGAATTCCACTTGCAACTTGCCGGTGTTTAGGTAGATTGTATAGAGTGTAACCTGGGAATTGGTAATACTTCAGTTTGTCATCCGAAATGTTAGCTTCCATAATTGTGAAAATGTCTACATCATAGGTTTGCAGGATTTTCTGTATTTGGATCTTTTTGTCCGGAGACATTCCTCCAGCATTCCACTGGAGGATCTGAAGACATTGTGATTCGCCCTGACGAGGGCGATTTTTCTTATAGCCTTTTTCAAAGCTAATCATAATTAATCGAAGTCAAAAACGTATGCCGATTGATAGACTTTTTTGCCGTAAGAAAATACGTTGTCCAGGGTGCACCACGAGGAGGTAAGTCTATCGCGCACCCCAAATTTGATTATAGAAAGTTGGATTTCATTTTAAAACCTAGGATGCTGGCCATGTCTAATCAAAGGGCAATTAATTCTTTATTTTAATATCTGAAACAAGAGTTCGTAGCATTTTTCTTATAAGTATTAGTGGAGATGTGGACAATTTGTGTAGGATAGAACTTTTCACTCTTTCTATTTGAGATTGGGATTGAGAAATGAGGGATTAACGATTGGGAAAGTTGTGAAATAGTAGAGAGGATGGTTTGAGTAGAAATGCTCGAATGTACCAAGGGAGTATCTGGGTGAACTTAAAATTCCAAAATTTTAGGCTTTTGAACTTATTGAATATTTATTTATTTATTTAAAATGGCAGGCCTTTTGATAGCTATCGTTAGCCATTTAGCTGACTTCGGGCTTCACAGTGGGAAGGTTCATCAAAGTAGCAGAAAGCCGAGGGGCGAGGAACAGAAGAGCGATTCACAGATGTAAAAGAGGCAGAAAAACATAAAGGTAGGGAAAAAAGTAAGATGAGTACTGTGGAAGGGGTCGAATATGACCAGCAGTTGGGCCATGGTATTTTGAAGTCAGAAGTCAAATGCCGCAGTTGTGCTATGGTATTTTGAAGTCAGAAGTCAAATGCCGGTTAATAGAAGTCATGGTAATTTGAAGTCAGAAGTCAACTGCCGAATAATAGACTTTTTTACCGTATGATTATACGTTGGCCAGGGTGCACCACGTGGAGGGGTATACGTTGCCCAGGCTGCACCACGTGGAGGTAAGTTTATAAGTCTATTGCACACCCCACCTTATTGAATAATGCATTGCAAGTTAATGATGTAGCATCGCCTAGACTGGAATTTATCACGAATTGCTTCAATGAAATTTAAGGATTCAGGTAAAACTAAAATTGTATATCACTCCATTTATGAGCATATTTGGTGAGATTCCATCTCACATGGCTTAATCACTACCCATGCAACTGCATTTCAGCACCTCTTAAAGATAATCTGAACAAATTGCCATTCAGAACAAATTCGAATCTTTTGATCTGCTCCTCTTTTCGTAATAACGTGGTAGTAGAACCTATTCTCATAAGGTCAAAATTACAGGAGGTTGATTCCCTTAACTCGACTACTTCTTCCTGACAGTTGAATGAGTAGGACTGGTGCAAGCAAATGTGTCCGTAATCCTCACAACGCCTATCCATCAACCTCAAGTCAGATTTCGATTGACATTGGGCTCACACCACTTCATCCATTAATGATCATGCTATCATAACTCAATTTTCAAATCACAGAACTGGCTTTTTACTTGGGCATTAGCAATCCACTTCACACAATTTTATTCTAACATGATTTCTATTCACCTCGTTGTTTCACTTAATGATTTAGATCTGATGGCTTCATTGTTTGCAATGTGATCTCAATACTTTTGTGTCCTGCAAATAGCATATAAAATTCCAATTATCTGTCCTAATAGGGGGTGTGCAATGGACTTACCTCCACGTGGTGCACCATGGGCAACGTATACTCATGCGGCAAAAACGTCTATCAATCGGCAGTTCAATTCTCACTTCAAACTATCATGGCCCGACTGCTTGCCATATTCGACCCCTTTCACAGTANTTGGGCAGATTTCAATTGAGAGGCGCCGAACGGCAGCTGCATGGGTAGTGATTAAGCGAAGTGAGATGGAATCTCACCAAATATGCTCATAAATGGAGTGATATGCAACTATTGCTTCAACCTACATGAAACAAGTGTGGTGCATTTTGCGGTTCTTTGCCCAACAGTCGATATCAACAATTGGTCTGGCATTTTATCACACTAATTTTACGACACGTATACACGCGACATGAGTTCAATATTGTCCGTGGTCTCAGTATGAAAGGAATTGTTAAAATAACAGAATATTTGTGCATCACAAGGGATGTGTGCCAGGTCAAGAAACCGGTAGTTGACTTTTGACTTCAAACCNTCTGCTCCTCTTTTCGTAATAACGTGGTAGTAGAACCTATTCTCATAAGGTCAAAATTACAGGAGGTTGATTCCCTTAACTCGACTACTTCTTCCTGACAGTTGAATGAACTGGACTGGTACAAGCAAATGTGTCCGTAATCCTCACAACGCCTATCCATCAACCTCA